TCCACTGCGTTCCACCGACACTATTACGATTCAACCGCCATTGCAACTAGATTTTGGCAGACTAGCAAATATTATTATAATCTCAGTAGAGCCCCTGATCTTTGCGATTTATGGCTCGCAGTGGCATTGCAAGCTGGTGTACGTACAGGCGTTTCGCTTACAACAAGGCGCACGATTTGTTTGCCCCTTTACGTGGTATCGTAAAAATAAAAGGCTGAAAACTTACCGGGTAACGTAGTTCACGTCGTAGAAGTTGTTATATAAATCCAAATAAATGTGAGGGTCACCAGTTTTACCGCGCCTATATTTCCATTGTGCCCAGTCTCTTTGCATATATGGAGGAATTGTTATTGGTTTTCTTTTATTCAGACGCCGTAAAATATCATTCACGCCTGGATTTAACGTATGGTCTTTTGGCGTCTGGTAATTTGTTGCTAAAATATCTTGTAATACAGTTGAATATGAGTTTTTCTTGTCAACTGCCGTTGCCATTTGCACTGGCGACTGGTTTACGTTAGCTTGTTGAAAATGTGTACTTTTCTTTTTATGCTTAGACTTTTTCTTTTTTCTTTTAGTTTTTTTCGGTGTTTTTGTGGAAGTATACAAATAATACATCAAAGTTACATTGGGCATTTCTGGGAGTCCATTGAGTGTTGGATTTACTCGTGGGTGTAGACGCCAAACTAGCTGAGTTCTTGTAGGTTTCCATGCGAATGCATCCTTGAGTGTTCTAGGTACTGTCTGAGATGTGCTAGTCATTATACTGTCTTCAGTTTGGATAAACAATGGTTTTGTTTCCGATCTCAGATTCGGTTCTGTCCCAGGTAGTATATCTTTGTCTATTGTTTCGTACGCAAATGTCACTCCAGCATCCGTAACATCTGTTTCTTGATTTGTGTCTGTAATGTACGCATAGAAAAATTCCGCAGATTTAGGACTTTCAACATCGGTCACAGTTTGTGTCTCAGAAGGCATGGCGTTGTCAAACGGTGCTGTGAATTTCTCTATTTCTATGTCACCGAATCCTGTCGATTTACGAGTTCGGAATGGTTTTCTTGTTTGATATCTAGTTAAATTTTCTAACATTTCTTGTATACGTAACTCTGCATTAGAACGATTGTTTTTCATTTGATGATGGTAATAAATGGTAGCAATTAAAGTTTCGTTTACCGGATCATTAATTATATCGTGATTATAATAAGTACGGCTGTTATTCCGTCTTGTATAACTTGGAGCAATGTAATCAAGGTCTGTGGGATTTGTTAATTCATCGTTCAGAACATCAAGGGCTACGTCGTCGTCAATTAATTTTCTTCGAAATTTTAATTCGTCCTCGATACGTTTTTCTACTGTATCTTTATTACCTGTTTTTGTGTTTCTTACATTAGATAGACTTCTTTTTGGTAAAACTATAGGCGCATTAATGTATTTTACATTATCAAATTTCTTATTAATAACAGTTAGGATACTTTTTTCCTTACGTTCTGCTTTTTTCGCATTAGAAACTTGTGACTTTTCATTATACGAGTTTTTTTGTAGTGTATAGATAATTGTTCTAGGTATATATGTCATTTTTGTTGGATAACGAGAGATTTTAGAAGGAATAGACTGGGTTGTTGCTCGGTTTTGTTTTACAGTAACGTTTTTTGTATGCGTTATATATGGAAAGTGGATTATAGTGTAAAATCTTTTTGATTTTATTAAATAATTTGGCGTTTTTAGTTTTCGTGTAGGTGCATTTAATAGTTGATTTTTTTTAGTAAAAGAATGCAACGCGTGTTTCTTAATTATTTTTCTTAATTTTTTCTTATAATCTGTGGTTGATTCAAATGTAGTAAGCGGGTTCACTGATTTCATTGTATCTGTTTGTAAACTTTTTATTAGGTTAAAATTAAGTATTAAAATATAAAGTAAACAACATAAAAACATTTTTGTTTCAACTGTCACGTTGTTAATGACAGAACTTTGGTAGTTGAAGATATAATTTCTTTTTCTTTATTTTTTTCCTTCCGATTGTTAGTACCTATATGTATTCTAAAAGTCTATAGAAATAAAAAAGTAAACTACATTGTTTTTGGTTCGCCTCTATGTTGTGTGGTCTATGGTTGACTCTATTGGAGCTTGTTTTGACTAATGAGAAATACATATTTAAAAAACCGTAAATGTATTATTTCCACCATGGTAACAGGGCGTTCAAGGACAAATAATGTGTGTGAAAAGTTATTTAAATAATTTGCCGACTTTACATTATTTCGGATTCAAAATACAGTAATAATTGATTGGCGTAACGAGGGCGTATCACGTAAAAATGACATTCACTCGAGTCAGAGCTAGAATTGAGAGGATAACGAATAATTCAGGCGCTCTGATTGGCCGAGCGGCGTCAGCGACCAATTGATAGGACAATAGATAGGTATAAAGGTGGATTCACAATGAACGATTCTGGCAATATTTTGTTGCAATTTATCGCGTTCCACGTTATGACCTTGAGTTGACCAATTAGGAGCTAAAGTCGCAGCACCTGATTGGTCAACTCAAAGTCATGTCGCGCAAGGCGATAAATTGCGGCAATATATTGCCAGAATTTGTGCAATGTGATTCCACCTTAAGTTTGTAAGTCAATGGGTATAAGCGAAAATTTTTATTTGCGTTCTCGCGCGCTCTTTCGCTCTCATTTGTAATTTAGACGTGATGAAGTTCGGTTGTGTTCAATAAGTCAGATGGACAAAAGTTTTTTGAGAATACAGTCCACTTCTAAAGATAAAGGAGTTTCATTTGAGGAAGGATACCGAAGGCAGTTCCTGGTCCGTTTAGGGCGGGTCTTACTTGTCTTATGGAGCCATAGCATTTAAAAGAAGAAGAAGTACTTATGTCTTTTTAATATTTATAATATGACTCTTATAAACTTAATTATTTATTTATCCTATGATTATTTAGCTAAAAGATTCAGGTTTATTACCTATTATTTGAACAATTAGAAACATTAAAAAAAATTTTTTTTTCTTCTTTCCATAAAGGAAAAGGCAAAGGTTTTACACCATACAGCCAAGTCTTAGTACATTATTCTTTTTTGGACATGAAGTTTAATTATGTTTCTGTAAATATGGCCGCCACAAAGAGGATAGGCAATTTGAGGCGGCGTGCTTGGATTGACTCGGGATTCCTTAAAACGGGCCGATACGGGTATTTTAGTTCGAGATTCGTATAATTTCGCGTTTTAATCTTCGATTAAGGCACAATACCACTATCCTATTCCACTTTAAACTAGATTTCACAAAATAATTGAAAGTCAAAATAAAAACGACACTTTTCCCTCCAAAAGGTCCAGAGCGAATCTTTTTTTCCTTGTTACCCGTCCTTGTTGCACCAAATCGGTCAATTAATGGAGCGTTCGTTTTATTATTGACTTTTAAGGACTTAAATAATAACTTTAATTGCAAGTGATAAATATCAGTCTTATTTAAAAGTTACATTGAACAAATTATAAACATATTTTTAATCATTCATTAAATTTGCTGGATTGAAATGAATCGGCAGATGATCACTGGTCTCCTAGATGCTCCAGGTTGAGGACGAAATCGCTAGTTTCAGATATTATGTTTAAATTAATATAAGATTTTACAAACTGCAGATCCTAACGTGTCCGAAATTCAAACGCGCGTATAGAATCTTTTGTACAAGAGCGGACATTGACTTACAAATAAATGGACGACGGGTCTAATACAAAAATCACGAAAAAAATGTCCCAAGTCAACCTATTTAAACGTAGTGACATGTAAAGGAATATGAAAAAGCTAAAACGTTGAATTTAAATTGTAATGTCATCGCAGTACTGTCTAATTTTGCTTGCTTCGCTGTCAGTCGAACAAACGAAGACTAAAGCGTGAATGACGCTCTGTATACG